CCAGCAGGGGGCGCTGACTGTTCAGGTTCTGTTGCTGTTGTTTGTTACTGTGGCCTAGGGCGGTGCTGCTCTTCATATGCACAGTTAGTCTGCCCTCCAGTTAGGCGCAGCACCTTTCCATCCCAGGTATTTAATGAATGTATAAATAACCAGATGCTATCTCCAACTATGAAACGAGAAATAATTTCTTTACTTCCTAAACCAAACAAGGGCTCTATCCTTTTAGATAATTGGAGACCAATCACACTTCTTTGCTGTGATTATAAATTGTTAGCTCACGTCTATGCCAACAGATTAAAAACAGAAATAACTCAAATAATAGATGAGACACAGTCAGCCTTTATAAAAGGACGTCACATTCATCATCATACCCGTTTAATATTAGATATGTTGGATTACAGTCATTTAATCGATTATAGCCTTATTTTATTTCTCGATTTCTTTAAAGCTTTTGATTCTTAGAAGCATATTTTTTTATTTAAAGCTCTGGAGGCTGTGGGTTTTAGTCCCAGATTTGTTAGTGTAGTGAAAATGTTGTACAGAGATATAACAAGTAGTATTGCACTCAATCACGGGTTTTCTAATAGTTTTAAAATTAATCGTGGCCTTCGACAGGGATGCCCTATTAGCCCGTTATTGCAACAGAAATGCTTGCCATTTATATCAAACTCTCTTCAGATCTGGACGGCATAAACATTCTTGATAAAGAATTTAAAATTAGTCAATTTTCTGACGACACTGCCTTATTTCTAAAGAATATAAATATGGTCTCTATTGCAATTAATAAAATCCTATCATTCTCAAAAGCATCCGGCTTAACACTAAATCTTCAAAAATGTGAAATCTTAGCTGTGCACAGCTGTAATCAAAGTATTATTAACAATATTCCAGTAAAAGAGGAGGTAAAATACCTTGGTTTAATAATCAGTTAAAATATTAATGATCGAGAGATTGATAATATAACTGCTAGATTAAATGCAGTTAAAAAAATATTTAATCATTGCCTATCACATGATTTATCCATATTAGGTCATATCTTACTGTCTCAAGCAGAAGGACTTTCAAGACTCATATACCCCTGTTATTCAATTTTTACATCTCCAAAAATGATTATTATATTCAGCTTTATCTGGAAAAATAAAACACATTATATATGCAAATCACAACTGGTTAAAGACTATGAAAATGGGGGCTTGAAAGCTTTAGACTTTGAATCCATTATTGCTGCATTCAGGCTCACATGGTTAAACGATTGCATTTCCTATCCTCAATCTGTGTGCTACCATATTCCAAACAAACTCTTTAATAAGGTCGGGGTTAGATTTTTTGCTCAAATGCGATTTTCTAAGATTCCTCTTAAGTTGTGTAGTTTCTATAAGCAGGCTTTGGATTTTGGGATTTTCACCCACAATTTTTCACTTCACAATTCTGTGATGTGGAATAACAGGGTTATAGTCATCAATAAGAAGTCTTTATTTAAATCAAACTGGTATGATAGGGTTGTATGTTTTATTTTTGATCTTCTTGACAAAAACGGAAACTTGCTATGTTACGAAGAATTTATTGATAAATATAAAAATGACGTTTCATTTAAGAATTATAATAAGGCTTGTAAAGCGATACCCATACCGTTGTTAAATCTTATCGCAAATATTTTAAAGTATTCACATTTATCCAGTTGGAGAATTCCTGTATAAAAGGTTTCATTTAGAGTCCGACTCTTGTGTTTTCTGTTCTTCCGATGCAGAAACATTAGAGCATCTATTTTTCAAATGTCAGTCTGTTAATGCTCTTTGGTTTGAAATACACTGTTGAATTTCCAATATACCTTCTTTCACATCGAAGGATGTTCTTTACTTTATGGACAATCTGGATTCTAAAATCTCAGATGTTGTCAATTTTGTAATAGTGTTATGTTATTTTATTCATTCATGTAAGTGAAAAAAATACCCCTCCTCTGTTTACCGTCTTCTTGAATTACTTTTGTCATAATTTTAAGTCACTTAGGCTTATTTCTAATATAAATAAAAAACTGTAAAATCACAAAGTACTTGCTATTCTGAATATTCCTGCCTGTGTCAAAAGGCCCATGTTCCTTATTATTATACCCGAGATATTTTTATTTTCTCCCTTTAAAGTTAAAACGACTTGCTTCATTAACATTATAATATAAATTATTTCAATACTGGTCTGTTTCCTTGACTTGTCTTGTATATGATAATTTCTTTCAATAAAGGTTAAAAAAAAAAACAGATGGAAGAGCTTCCTGTCCCACAATGCACAGCGGTATCCGGGCTTAATAAATTGACGCGAGACGCGTGGTCTGCCTCTCAGTCAGCAGGAAGATGTGGTGCAGAAGGAGGACACTTCATTATGGTGAGGGCTGATCAGTAAAGGCCCGTGCGGTGCTTTGACAAGGAAAAAGACTAAAGCGAGTGTAATTTATCCATGCGACAAATCTGTGTTAAAACAGGACTCGAACGTTTTATGACGCAGAGCGGGTGTAGTGCAATGGCAGTCCGCGTTTACTTGGGCTCTTGATGGGAGACAGCATCAAACAATATGTGCAACAACCAGTCTGTGGGCTACTCCTGTGCGAGGAGCAACGTTAAGCTGGGCTGATGCCGGGCTCACACTGTGCGGTTTTTTTTTCAGTGGCGTTCAGCTTCTGTTCAAACTGCACGATTGACTCGCAGGGGTTAGAAGTTAGTAGGTCACGATGCTCTGATGCGACCTGAGTGCTCACACTGTGCTTCCATAAAAATGAAGATAATCTGTCGCTCGCTCTTCCTCTTTCATTAACACACCACCACCGTCAACTTCGCTAAATTGCTAATGAGAAACATTGATCAAGCAGCTGTGATTGGGCAGCATGTAAATCCAACTATTTTCACGGTTGTTGTGGTCGTGATCGTTTTGTGAGGCCACATGGAAAAGGCTCGGATGGGCTTTCCAAAGTTCTACAAGTGCCTCCATCGCTTGTGTCCAGATCACACGCTGCACTGCCGTGCCGCTCCGTCTTTTTCGCCGACGTTTGCGCGTGCGCAGTGTGAGAAGCTGCGGTGACCAAAATCTGGCCGATCGCCAAAACGGTCGCACGACTGAAAAATCGGCTCAAAATGGGCCAAAAATCGCAGTGTAAGCCCAGATGTCACAGATGTCTGCTGTTACTACTCAGTACTTCTTACGTCGGACGTTTTTAACTGGTTTCGCTTTTCTTTTTCCCAGTGGGTTCAGATGGACCGGCTGCAGTGGACACTTCTGCGGCACCGCCATGTTGTTACTACGGAACTGACACCACAGGCCGTGACTGTAGTTGGTAAGTCTTTTAGATTTAAAGTATTACGGTTAAGGCTTAACTGAGAAATCTGCTTTTGGGAATAAAACATTTCCAAGAAACTAACTGATCAATTAGAAAGTGATTTATTGGCTATTAACAGACATATAAAAGCCAGTCAATTAAAAAAATCTGTGGGGGCATGTCTGTTCAAGACAGTCTTTTCCCCTTTGCCTAATTCTGTTTATAGCTTTTATAGTACTGAGTGACATGGGCAAGGAAAATGCCAAGTGAAAGTGTTTAAACTAGATAAACTTTCCATTTTTTGTAATTAGATTTTTTTCTGGGGGGGGAGATTCCCTTTGCAACTGTCTGTTTCTAAATAGATCTACATATTTCTTCATTGTTCTCACAAATATGCTGCCATATAAGTAACTGTGACAACATGAGAATAAATTGGCACATTTGTGTGCTCCCTGACTTTAGTTTAGAAAATGGGGCTTGATGTGAACATGGTTTGTGCCATTGCCATTAGTTTTCACTTTAAAGTGGATTCCTTCTCAGATGATGATGTATGATTTTTGTCTTGAGTCTGAAGATGCAGACAAATTAAAAACTCCTTAAATGTGAACACCTACAAATTGTCATCTTGAAGACTCTCCTGATGTTGCACTCGTGTTTTCTCTTGCAGACGTGCTGGCACCCGGTGTTAAACAAACATGAAGGCTGAGTGTTGGTGTTGGAATAGAACTACACACTGCTCGCCTTTAGGCGTAAAGGTAAATTTAATTCGGTTTATAGACGTGTTCTGCATTGAACTATTAAGCAGTCTTGTCGTGTTCACATCTTTGTCATTCCTGGTGTAACTGGCCTGGCGCTGAGCATGAAGGCTGTTGTGAATAGATGAGATAACAGTGGTTGTGTTGCAGGCAGAGGATCTGTGGTGCTGATATCTACAGACTGAAGGTGGGTCTCACTGACAACTTTCACTTGTATTTAAGTTTTTGTCCTGTATGCACTGATTAGTGAATAATAACATTATGCTGCAAGGAGCTCATGCTGACTGTAGGTATGTGTGATGTACATGAAGGATGTGGAGAAATGGCGTGAACCCAATCTTGTACTGCTCTGACAGAGACTGGCTCATCTCTGCTGGAGAATCTTAGTATTGGGAGAGAAAGTCAGGCCTTTGGCACAGGTTTCAGTAAAAACCATTTACCAGAACCTGACTGAAGGCCTGAAACATGCTGCTGGTGATAGTTCAGTTACCTTCACTGTGCAGATTGAATAATAATAGTAATACTTGTGCTTTGGTTTTGTGTCGACAGGGATCCTGACAGGCAGTTTTGGATGACTTGGATGCAACTGCTGTCTTGGCTACATCGACCAGTTTCGGCAAATGTCAGGATGTGGAGTTCTGTCTGCATACCTCGACCTCACAGGGGCTTTAGATTTCAAGACGAGGGTTTTTATTTTTATTTTTGTTTCTAATCTCTCATTTGAAGGTTTAAAACCAGATCTATCAAAATGTTTGTTTTTAATGTCTGTTAATCTAAGCAGCAGCATCAATAAGTCATATTGAACACATTTTACACTGGAGTACAGCAAGTGTACATTTTGAGTTGGATAATTCTGAGGTTGTAGAGAAAAGATGGCTGTAAATTCTGTTTGGAAAAATGAAGCAAATGCTGAAATCCCTTAAACCAACGTTCTGTCTGAAAGCCACCAAATGTCAACTGCGAGGTTTGCAGATTATGAGAAATGGCTTTCTAGTAAACTCTTTACTGCAAGTTTATGGCATCACTCATTTGGGGTCATAACAAAAACAGCAAGATGATGTGGTGCTGAAGTCTGACTATACAATGATACAAGCATTAATGTACAAGAGGCTGAATAACAGACAAATGCATGATTGTTCCTCATTTTGGCTCAACATTTGTCATCTGTCTGTTTTATTGGCCTGATGTGATGGAATCATTATTTGAGAAATGTACTTAAACCTTTTTGTCCCTACTTTGTTGTCAAGCTTCCTCTTTAAAAGGTGAATAAACTGAACAAGAAATGTGTCGTTGCTTTTATAAATGCCTAAATGGAACAAGACATTTGATGTTTGTGATCAATTTATATTTGAAGGTTCCTGAATACTGCAGTTGTAGGGGGAGAAAAACAAACTCTGGCACAGCTGTGTTCACCCCCCCAGTAAACTAACCATAAAACCAACTGGACTACATGCTGGCAAAGGCAGAACTCTGATTAAATCAAAGAGAATTATCTGTAGTGTTATAGTAGTGATCATGATAACTTTTTTTAAGCTGTTTATAATATAGTTTGAATTTAAAACCTTCATATCTACAACCACATTTTGAAACCAATGTAACTACACTACTTTGGGTTAAAATTAACATTGGCAGCTGCTGCTAGCAGGTTTGTTGGTGATAATCTACACTGATTATTTAATGCAACTTATTTGAGCTTGTTCTGTGTGGCAACTGTCGTGTTTTTAATCAAACATCAGTAGTAGTGAGCAAGCTTCTTTATTTTTAACGTGGCTCACATCCATGCATGTAAAACATAACCTGCCGCTGCTTCTACGACTCCGTATATATCACAATTTGGTTTAGACTGCCCCCTAGTGGTGAAGCTGAACTAACCCACATAACTCCTATCAACACAGTAACTGTTGTAACACTCTGCCTGTTATTAAAAGTTTCGTTTAGCGGTGTGACTGGAGCAACAGCTTCCTGATCTGAACCCAAATGGTGTTTGGTTATTGGACTTCTGTGCAAATCAGTTTGTATCAAATTGAACAGCATGTTTCAAACATGTCCCTAAGTGCATGTGGCACCAGATATGCAGTTTTTTGTTTTTTTTGTTTTAGACTCTTATAGAAAGTGAAGAGAGGAGCTGAGCTGTCTATTGAATATGACTATTGAACAATTGGTTTTGTGTCCATAACTAAAAGGTCCAGATTTTATGAATAGAGAACTAATTATTTTTCACTCTGTTTTTTTTTTTTATACTCAACTCTGCATTTAATCATTAGTTATTAATCTTTGGCTCTCTTCTACAGTGTGTTGTTTGTCTTGTCTTCCTAGCTGCCCGTCCGTGAGCCTGGTTCTGCCGGAGCTTCTTGTTAAAAGTTTTTACTTCCCGTTTGCTCAAAGAGGTTGTTGTTGTTGTTGTTGTTATTGTTATTGTAGGGTATTTACCTTACAATCCAATACCTTAAACTATGACTATTGTGAGTTCACACCATATAAATAAATGTAAATTGAATTAACAGTGTTGTCCAGAAATGTGACTGATTTGCAAAGAATTTGCTTGATTCAATACTGAATTTAAATTTATTATATTAAAGTTTCTTATAGAAAAAATTCTGC